ATCTTACTACGCTGATGGACAGTGACTGTAATGGGGCATGTGGTGGGGACTTGATAATGGGGGGAATCTAGTAACCACAATGTTGCTCATGTAATTGTATATTAGTGATACCAAAAAAAACTGTTATTATAAAAAAAAAAGAAGCGCAGCACAGAAGTCCACTTCCATGAAATATCTAGAGCAGCAAATCTGCTGACACAGAAAGCTGGTGCAGGGTTGCCTCAGGGAGAAATGGGGAGTGACTGCTAAGGGGCACAGCTTTCTTTTGGGGATGATGAAAGTATTTTCACAGATCATGATGGTTGTGGAACTCAGTAAAAGTACCTAAAATCATTGAACTGTGTATACTTTAAGTAAGTGAACTTTACAGTACATGAATTGTATCTCAACAAAACAGTTAAAACAAATAAACTTGTAGTGTTAGAAGTCAGAACAGTGGTTGACCTTGGGAAGCGGTGCGACGGGAATGAGCCCAGTGGGACTTCCAGAATGCTGGTAATGCTCTCTTGATCTGGGAGCAGATTACATGAGCATGTTCACTTTATGAAAATCACCAACCTGCACACTTATAATTTGCACAGTTTTCCATATGTATGTTATACTCCAATTTTTAAAAAACTGAAGAAAAAAATCAAGCCAGAGTTAGGAATAAGCAGAAAGCATAAGGAACATGAGGAACAGATACACAGCAGAGAGTATCCTCAGGGAAAGGCACAAAGAAAAACAAACTGAGAGATCATCTAATGTCAGAAAACTCATGTCCACGAATTCCTACTGCTGAGGTCCAAAACAGGTCAGGAGACTTCAATGAAGAGGGCTGGAACCAATTATGTACTTGGCGTCACAGGGAAAATTAAATTACCTTAATTATTAAACCTCACAAAAACAAAAACGGACATAAAATTAGTAATAAACTCATAAAAAAATTTACCTTGCCCCCTATAACCCACTAAGTCCACTGCTAGGAATATGTGCCACTGATAATAAACATTAAGAATTTCTCAAAAATCTACATTCAAACATCTCATTGAAGCATCTTCCTAGCAAGCTGTGGTTCAACATATTTAACATAATGCCACTGAGTTTGGGATAACTATTCAAGGGACAAATCCATATCCATACATGTATGTATACACATCCACATGCACGCAGAGAATATGCAATTTATTGAAGTACATATAAGAAAACGTAACAAGGATTGACTGTTAGTAGAGAGTCCTGAGACTAACTTAAAACCTTTCACTGTCTGAATTTATTAGAAAACCAATATTATCTTTACTTAATTTTGTTTTAAAGAGAAAAAGTTGCTAGTTGATGCATCTATTTGTAAAAACAGATGATGATATATATACACATTAGGAAGGAAAGAATGGAACATGATTATTTAAGGTACCCTGCAGCTTTGATTCTATAAAAACACACTGATGAGGAATAGAAAGCTTGCAATCACAACAGATAATTTTAAAAAGTCTCTCTGTGATATAATAGCAAACTGAATGCCTTTAGAACATGTAGGGATTCTTCTCTTTCTATAGGTATGTTTGGAATAATCCATTAAAATATTCACACAGGAACAAAATGGGCACTTCCACTAGATTAGATGAGAGTAAGACTTTTCCAAGTGAGGATCTGACTGACGTTTATCATTCTTTGCCCTTTTACATCCCTGCCTTCCATCCACTGGAACAGCAAATAATAACTCACAATTTACCATTTACCAGATGCTACGCTATGAGCTTTACACAGATTATCCATTGAATCTTTGAAACAATCCTATAAAGTAGGTATTATCATGCATGTTTACAGACGAGTGTGGAAGATTTTATTTCCCAAAGATGGCAGCCTCTAGATATTTCATCCCACATGCTCATTTTATTGTGTGTCTGCTGCTTCTCCACCAAGAGGTGGGATCTATGTTCTGCCTCCTCAAATCTGGGGGATGCAGATTACACTACGTCATTTCTGAGGCCAGATCAGAGAAGGTAATGCCCCTTCTTGAGATGCTCCCCCTCAGAATCCAACTGCCATGCCCATAGAGACCATGTGCATGCAGTGTTCGCGCTGAGAGCCCAAGCAGAGGGCCCAGTGGACAACAAGCATGGACTGCCAGACATGTGAGTGAGGAAATCTGAGTGACTCCAGCTCCAGCCGCAATCTCACTGCGACTGCATGAGAGACTCCAAGTGTGACCTGCCTAGTTGAGCCCAGGCCACCCACATAAACATGAGAGAACAATAATTATTGTTATTTTAAGCCGCTAAATTGGGGTGATTTGTCATGCAGCAATAAATAACCAGAATGGCAAAGGAAACCAATTTAAGAAAAGAAAGGTCAGTAACCTGCCGGAGGCTGCCTTGTCTGCCCGGCTCCAAAGCCCATGCTCTTAACCTCACTGTGTCACTCTTTGCTGCCTACTACGGCAAATGATTCACAACAGGAGGAGGAGGTCAGGAATCACCTACAGGATAATCAGCGTATCTCCAAATACTTGGGCACTGCCTAGAAAACAAGTAAGAAAATACACCAGAAAACCCTGACACACAAAAGGCAGGATACTGTGCCAGATTAAAGGAGACCAAAGAAATACAGTAAAATACAACTTGTGATTTTTTATTGGATCCCAAAAAAAATAGAAGCACCTTTGACAGATGTTATTGGGAGGGAAAATTTGAAATATAGACTGCATTTTAGATAACAGTATTGCATCAACATGTTATTTGTACTGTGATTATGAGGGAAGAACATCCTTGTTCTTAGCAGATACTTGCTGAAGGAGTGGTGAAATGCAGTGACAGCTACCACAAATTCTCCAAAGATTCAGTGACAAATGCATAATTTAGAAAGAGAGAGCGCTCACAGGTGAGCAAGCAAAGGCAAAATGGTGCATCTAGGTGAAGGGATTGTAAACATTCAATGAAATCTTGCAACTTTTCTGTACATGTGAAAATTTTTAAATAAATAGTTGGGAGGAAAAAAAGGAATATAGTAAAAAATATATGTATATAAGTCTACACTGTAAATAGAAGTGAAAGCCTTTTGCATACCTTGTATTCGAACTACAGCTTTTGGTGCATTAATGAAAAAGATAAACATGTAAACAATATCCACCAAAAGAAAATAATGCCTTATGTACTAGAAACCAATGTAGGATTGTTTATCAATGATACTTCAATAAAAAAAAAGGATGCCTTATAAAGGGTGAATGAATTATTTAAAATATCTTGGTTGCAGAATTTATGCCATACACAATTACCAATTGACAATTAGGGTACAATGTAAATTTAACATTATAACTACACTTAACATAATATTTTCCCAGCAAAGAAGGTCGGAATTTTTCTGCACCTCTGGCAGAAACGGGAATTACATCTGTAATGTTAAAAAAAAAAAAAAAAAAAAATCCAGGTGGTTCCACTTGGACTGCCCATAACCCACAAATCCAAGCTTGGGTAACTTTTTTATCAATTAGACTTTCTAGGATGACTACCTCATCCCAACTTCCCAGTAACACTATTTCATTTCACTAAAAGGTTGTTTCAAAAGTCCTATAAAAATAGTTCAGATTAAAAAAATAAAACAACGCAGCCCAGCACTAAATAGATGTCATCAAAAGGCAGAAAGCCACACTGTAACTACATTACTGCCGAATGTCCAAGAAAAAAATCTCAGGTTCAATCCACCATTTAAAAAACAAAACTCACTCACCTCCCCAAACTCTAACGTGACCACGGCACCAAAACGTGCCTCAGCGGGACGCGAGTCGCCGCGGAGACCCCACGGCCGCGGGCCAGCCCCGCACCCCTGAGCTGCCCCAAGGGCGCCGGCTGCCGACAGCGCAGGGAGGTTCGGGGACCCCACACGCGGCGCTTCCCGCGGGCCGCCAAGCGGCTGCAGAGGGGCGACCGGGCCGGGCCCCCAGGTCTTACCGGCCCCTGCGCCCCCTCCGCTCGCCCTCGCGTCCCCGCCTCTCCCGGGCCCCACTCACTCTGCATCCCGGGTGAGAAGACGACCCCTTGCCGACACTGCACGGAGAAGAAAGGGGCAGAGAGGGTGGCCCCCGACTTCCACTCCTCTGAGGCAGGGTCCCGACATCTGCGGTGGTCCCTCGTTGGAGAGCGTTAGGATCCGGCCGCCATGTTGTGTCCCTGTCACCTTAGCAACGGTCCAGTCCCGAGAGCACCGAGCTGCCTCCCGCGCGTGCGCAAAACACCTTCCCTGGTCCGCCGGGCTTCCGTGTACGCGTGCGCAGTGCGGCCCTCCTCAGTCTGGGCGCTAAGTAACCTCCTGTGTCGATTTAAAGCGATTCCTGGCCTGGAAGTGCAGGTGATCTTCGCAGGGATCGCCATGCCCAGCCATCCTGAGAATTTAGCGACTCGGACGGCAGCCTCGAACTTTAACTGGGCCGGGGACACACTGAACAACCGTCATTTGATAGCTGTTCTTTGCAGTCCCGTCCTGCAATTGAGCATCTACTAACCAGTCCAGTACATTTCTTGAGTTTTTCTTTCTAATTCAACAAATATTTATTGAGAGCCAGGCCCTGTTCCAGGCATTGGGGATATGAAGGAGAGCAGTGTGGACAAATGTCCCTGATTTCTTGAAACTTACATTCCAGTGTGACGTTGAGGAATGAATATATGAATTACGCACATGCAAATATGAAGACGGAGCAGGCCAGTGTCCTGGCCCTCAAGGAACTACAGTGCAATAAAAATAACAACCATTTATATTATTCGTACAGCATTTTATGAAACTCATTGTTATTTACTTATTTCATCCCCACAACTACTTCACCAGGTCCAGTATCTCTGTTTTTTCCTATTAATTTTTGAAATTAAAGAAGTAAAATGTGTCTATTGTACAAAAAAAAAATCAAAACATGGAAGTACATAATGAAAATTTTGAAATAATCCTTTCAAAGCCTCTCCATCCTTCTCACTCCCCATCTTCCCCAGAGTTTAGCACAGTCAACAATTGGGTGGTGTCTTTTCAGAATTTCTTTGTATCAATTTGAACAGTTTCCCCATAACAGATAATTTTCTATAGTTTGTTTCTTTTTCACTAAATAAGTCATAGTTAAGATGGTGGCATGACAGGAGAGACAGAAAACTCCCAATACCACATATAATATGAAAATATAGTTAATACAACTAATCCTAAAACAGCAACAGGGAAGAAGGCTGCACCAGACTGCACACACCTGGAGAACAGAGCAGACCTCACCAAACAGGGTAACGTGCCAAAGCCTTGATCCGGCTGGACCCAAGCCCTTCCCACACCCCAGCTCACAGAGAGGAGGAAGAGAAACGGAACAGGGAGAGGGTGGAAGCCTAGGACTGCTGAACACCCAGCCCTGGAGATCTGCTTTGGGAGCACAAACCTACATTGCATGCTGCTCTGGAGATTAGTGGACTTGGAAAGCTAAAACAGGTGGAATACTTGAAAGACTGATATTCCAGCTGTTTGTGGAGGACAGGGATCCACATCCAGCCGCTCTGGGACAAAGGAAAGGCACGTGCTCTGAGAGGCTTCCTAGCAGTGAGAGAGCTGCTGAAGGAGTGGGGACTGCACAGAGCTTGCTGCATGAGAGAAGAGATAGGTGGACAAGATTGCCTGGGTGGGCTCTGCCCAGCAGGTTGCAAACTTTTAGGAGCTTCAGGTGCTCCATCCCCATGGCTGCCTACTCAGCTCCGAGGTCCCCCACTGTGATACGCAGCCTGCTGCACCTTCCTCCTGGCCCACTGGCACAAGCTCACAAACCAGCAGTCACTGCCCTGGCGTCAGGCCAGCCAGAGGGAGACCCCGCCTATGACAGCTATAGATGCAAATCACAGAGGCTTACACCTGTGTGCTCGGCCCACTGGCTCTGACAGTGGAGACAGGCGCTGCAGCTGGGAAGCAGGAAACAGCTCTTTCCTCCCCCAAGGCACCAGCACTGCTCCCCTGTGACCCCTGACTTCACCCCAAGGGGTGAGCAGTTCCAGGGACTAGAAGCCAGAACATAGTTCTGGAGGTCCTAGCCACGGCAATCAGACAACACAAAGAAATAAAAGGCATCCAGATTGGCAAGGAAGAAGTCAAACTGTCC